GATAGTGGACCTATTGTGGCCACCTTAACAATTATCCTACTCATTTTTCATTTCATTTGAGCTTGACAAGTCTGTATTAGGCCGGTTTTGACGTGCTGTTGTTCCATTCAGAGCTGCTTCTCTCCTAAGGGAATACAAAATCAGCTTCAGTAGTTCAAATGCAGGTCAACTGCACCTGCAATTAATTCTAAATGTCCTCAAAAGTGTCTCAAACTGATGTCAAAAGCATGCTGTATTTGGCCAATGAAGCCAGTCAACGCAGGCCTGTCCACTGGTATCAATTTGATTGGCTGCTGTGGAATACCTCTGATGTGCAAAATTTTTTATGACAAAACAGTTTGTCACTGAGAGGCTTTTGGGACTGCTGAGGGTTGAAAAACCTGGATGGAAGATGACATTTTCTGCCTAGAAGTGTACCCATTAATCAGAAGACAGCACAAACACAAACCTATAATTAGTGTTAAATGTGTTTTTCTAAAATGTATCTCTTTAAGCTACACTAAGGCCTATTTCTATCTGAAACATGCACATATCAAAGTCAAAAGCAGATTTCATAGAGTTACTTAAATGTTCAGTGCAAAAATTTGCATTGTGTTGTCCCTATTCTTCTGTCAGTTGTAGATAGCTACTAGGGATGAACAAAATTGACTGTTTTCGCTTTGTTAAAATGTTGTCAAAATATAATTTGTTATGTTTTATATTCTTTTTCCTTTTGTGAAAAAAACATCAAATATCAAACTACAAAAAAAGAAGTTTGTAAAATTTGTCAAAATTTGAAAACTCATTTCGCCAAAATGTTATTAAAGGTGAAATTAGTAATTTTGCAAATAATTAATTTTTCCAAGATAACTCTGCTAATCCCTAGTAGCCACAGGTCTGAATCAGGACAAAAACCTCTTTACTCCTACGATGCTCTTTGAATGTCTCCTATGAATCTACAGGAACTATTTAATCAGTCTATATGATATGGAATGACTGAGAATGGACACATACTTGGCCTGCTACTGTACATTATGAAAATAAAATGCCCTCTCCACTTACTGCTGACACTGAACACTTTCTTATTTTTCTCTGCCCAGGATACCTCCTATATGTTTGCCACTGAAGTATCTCAGCTCCTGCTAGCTGAACCTACAAGATGCCATGTTCTCTTCACTCATTGAGAATGCAAATGATCCTATGAGAGATTGATGCTCCAAGACACGTCTCCACTTCCTGATTTGCATATGTAATGCAGCCATACTTAATGACTGTGAGTAATCATGTTAATCGACTTTTGCTGCAAAGCTCCATGGGGAACAAGAGAAAGTGATGGGGAGGGAAAGTGGTTAATTTACCCATAAACTTCAGAGGTCAGTCAAAATATGCCGGCATTATCTGACCACCAAAAGATATTTCTTACAATAGATCTTTTCATAATCATGCATTCTCAGATTGATCAAGTATCTATGTTTATGGCAATAGAGGAGGGATGGGGAGAGCCAGAAGAAATCTCCATGCTGGTTTGTCTTGGGGAAAACACTAGTAACTGGTGGAATAAAAGTGGAAAAGTAATTTACTATGTTGAGTATGAATGTCTGCGGTTGATCATCATCCTTTATTCTATATGGACAAAATTGGTGTGTTGACAAATGTTTTTGAGCACTTAAAGTGTATTTCCACTTTTGCAGTCAAATTTGAGAAACCCCTCTATATGTTTGTTATGTCTTCCTGTTCACACAACATATCAAAAAATTACTTTTACAAAAAGTTTGACCTTTTAGATGTTTTGTTAAATCAGGCAAGATGGCTAATTCCAGGGTTTTCTTCGCCCTTTCACAGTGATCTGTCCTTATAGAAACACTTGGGACTAAAATTTAAGGATTGCGCTTATCTTATATGTTTCATTAACATACATGGCCAAGCTACCTCAGACCCCTCATAGCCCCTACTAACATTTCAAAGGAGTAGAAGCAAGAAGAAATTGTAATCCCTAAAACCCCAACCCAAGTAAAAGCAATTTAAACTGCAAGAAGCATTTTTTTTTTTTTTTAGCTAATGCTATGTGAATGGGATCATGTAACGCAAATAAAATAAGTGTTATCCCAATGTAACTGCAAATATGGAAATACATTTTAAATTGTGCAGTTAAAGATATGATAAGTCTTGCCAAAAATCTATCTATCTATCTATCTATCTATCTATCTATCTATCTATCTATCTATCTATCTATCCCATATGACATTACTTCACCAAAATAGTTGTTAATGTTTCACACTATAAGCTAAAAACAAGATAATTACTATCAGAAATATCATGACAGGTTTTCTTTTCTTTTGGTTTCTGTAAAAAACTAATACCCCCAAAAGTGTGTTCACTGTTTAAGAACTCTACAAACACTAAACCTCACTGTGTAGAGATATGGCCACCATGCAACTTCATTCCAAAAGGAAAACATTTAATGGAAAAACATTATATATATATATATCTTACTGGAGGCACACAATAAATACATTATTAAAATATCACCATGGTGTAACTTTAAAAATCCCCGCAACTCAAGTGATCTGTTATATCTTTATGCTGTGTCCCATAAGGTTGTTTATAATGTATCTTTGTAAGAGGAATCCAGAGGCTGATCATCTTTATTTCTCAAAGTTTATCTTAGACATTCGTCCCACACAGTATGGAGAGCTCCAATCAAGGAAGAAAGATGAGTATTGCATTAGTGTTTGGGCTCCAATAGTCCAATTTACTTTCTTCATAAACTTCCAGGAATCAAGCAGGGTAATCATTTTGGGATATCTGTCCAAATGTCTCCCTTTTCAAAGACATCAGTCACAGATAGAGCCAAGAAAGAGACAAACACATGCTCAGGCGCCATTTTGTGCACACATAAACCTATGTAGGAATATTTTATTTGGGTTATTCCTCTTATGTAGCCGCCTGTGACCGGCAAACCCTTCAGGTTTCAAGCCATCCCCACACTCTGTTACTTTCTACAGAGGGATTCTGTCTCACAGAAGTGATTGGATTTTTGGAGAGGATCCGATAAGTATATCTATACTTTTGGGACTAATTTGTTTTTCGTTGGATTATACTTATACTCTGTAAAGAGGTGAGGAAGGACTATGCAACTTGGGAAGACTGATGAACTTTGCATGATGTAAACGCATGTTTGTGTTCAGCTCCTGTTTACATTTTACTACAAAGGAACTGTGCAATGCTCAATACATGTCTACCTTTGACTCTGTGTTGGCACTTTAATCCATTTTGATGGACTTTAATGGTGGGTTTTCTATGGATATGACTGTCACATCTGACATGATTCTGGACAAGCTCTTTCTGTTACTGATCTCTTTGAAAAGGGACACAGTTGGACAAATATCCCTGATGATTACTCTGCTTGGTTCCTGAACATTTATGAAAATTGAACTATTAGAGCCCAAACATTAATACAATACTCACCTTTCTTCCTTGATTGCAGCTCTCCATACTGTGTGGGAGATGAAGATGAACTTTTAGAAATAGAGATTATCAGCCTCTAGATTCCTCTGACAAAGATACATTGTAAACAACCTTATAGGACACAACATACAGAAAATAAAAAAAACAGTTTTTTTGCTTGCACATGATTGGGTGATGTAAGTCAGCTGAGCTTTACCTCTTTCACTAAACAAGTGGATACTGCTCCTGGAAAATGCAATTTCCCTTGTGAAGTGAACAGACTATTTGCCTTTAGTAAATAAACCCTTAAGGGTCTGTGGTAAGTCCAGTGGGGAAGAGGTAAAATCTCTGCCATGTTTTTATTTTTGCCTTGGGTCCCTCACTTCCTGTCACTGTGAGGTCAGGACAAGAAATAAGCAATGAGGTTGAAACTGGGACAGGAAAGCATAGACCTCAATAAAACATTGTCACAAGCTCTAGCTCTTCAATACTCTACTTGAAAATAAATGCATTAAAATTTAATAAATATGTATAACAATTTGTTAATAGTAAAGGAAACTCTGTTACTTTGCCATTTAGGGCAAACTGACAGCCGCCTACTAGTCCACCCCCCAAACCCACCTATACTCACCATCACAACACTCCCCCAATGCTTCTTCATCCCTTGCAGCCAGAAATCAACTTCATATTTCTTCCACCTATATCATTTGTTATAATGGACTTATTGTGCAGAATGTTTAGAATTTACCAGAAGTTGATTTCTGGCTGCAAGGGAGGAAGAAGCATTGGGGGAGTGTTGTGATGGTGAGTATAGGTGGGTTTGGGGGGTGGACTAGTAGGCGGCTGTCAGTTTGCCCTAAATGGCAAAGTAACAGAGTTTCCTTTACTATTAACAAATTGTTATACATATTTATTAAATTTTAATGCATTTATTTTCAAGTAGAGTATTGAAGAGCTAGAGCTTGTGACAATGTTTTATTGAGGTCTATGCTTTCCTGTCCCAGTTTCAACCTCATTGCTTATTTCTTGTCCTGACCTCACAGTGACAGGAAGTGAGGGACCCAAGGCAAAAATAAAAACATGGCAGAGATTTTACCTCTTCCCCACTGGACTTACCACAGACCCTTAAGGGTTTATTTACTAAAGGCAAATAGTCTGTTCACTTCACAAGGGAAATTGCATTTTCCAGGAGCAGTATCCACTTGTTTAGTGAAAGAGGTAAAGCTCAGCTGACTTACATCACCCAATCATGTGCAAGCAAAAAAACTGTGTTTTTTTTATTTTCCTTACACATGATTGGGTATTCTTTAGTGAAATTTCACCACATTCACCGAGCTAAGGGAAACTTCCCCTGCATATTGCCAATACCCCTGCAAAGTGAACAGCCTATTTGGCTTTAGTAAATCAACCCTTTACTGTACGCTAAATAATACGTTCCACTGATTGAACTTACGTGGAATTTGTTTTTTGTTTTCCCTATGTGTGCGTTTCTTCAATGTGCCCTAGTTTCTTCCTACAATCTAATAACATACTGGTAGAATAATTGTCTTCCAACTAAGCTGACCTCAGTGTCTCTGTGTGTGTATGTGACCTGTCCTAGGGACAATAGCCTATAGGATGCTTCACAGAGAGAATATGATTTTTGGATTTGTAAAAGGCTGCAGAAAAGTGCCAGCACTATAGAAATGGAGAAAGTGAAGGGTGAAAAGGTGAGATATTCTCTCCAGCATAATCCCTTGATATAGATTTTTAATCCTCTTTCTACTAGTTCTTTGCAGAAATGCTGAACTTGAGCCAAGAATAGCCTTTTTGAATGAAAAATTATTTCAGTGTACTATATCCAGCAGGAGGCTTTTATCCGCCATTTATCTCCATATATGTGTTCTTACACATGAGATTACAGCTGAGCAGCATATGGGAAAAGTGTGCCTTTGGATTACTTGTCCCTGATTGCCAGACGCATGAATAGGCTTTCTTATTTTGGTACATATTCTTCAAGTGAAACAATAATGTGTTTTGGTCAATTTGACGTAAGTCTAAACTATATACTGTATATACAGCATGTGTGTGTATATATATATATATATATATATATATACACACATACATACACACACAGTGTGTGTGTATATAATATATTAAATACAGGGACAGCCATAACATCTGATTTTCAGAGAACCATGGGGTTTCCAAAGAGAGAACACAGCAGAAGCTGCTTTCTTTCAGTCTGTCTCTTAGTGAAACTTCATATGGGGCCTTCTGGGAGGAAAATGGAAGATTCACTGACTAATTTTTAATGCAGAACTCAAGGCAGAAATAACAAGACTTTATTTATTCCAATTGTGAATTCAATAAAAAAAAATATATATTTTAACAGAGCTATTTACTTACCTACATCTGTGGTCATGTAACATGCCAGGTTCAGAGACTTCCCTTTTCTTTACTACATAGGAGAAGGGTCTTTCTATGTTTGTCTTTCTATATCGCAGCCTGGGTGATGTGGACACTTCCTATTGGCCATCTGGTGGAAGGGTGTTCTCAGGCTCTAGAAGACTGCACAGCAGACCACCTTTCATTAGATCCCTAGTCATCAAGTGGTACCTTTGACATTAAATAGCAAATCCCTTGCTCCATCAATATAATAACCTTCACAAAGATACATTGTGGAATAAGACATGGCAAGCCAGTAATGGCGACAAGATCAGCTGCAGGGAGCCTAGAGGTAATACTGGTGACTAGTCCTTTGCCGTTTTAGTCACAGCTTCAGGTCTCCTTTAACTAATGTAAGTTTTTGTTTCTCTTGAGGCATTATTTTCTCTCACAAAGGGTTTTTCCTCCACCTTGGCTCCTTTTCCTACCCACCTCAATAGACACTACATTGAAACTCACGTGTGTAGCCAGCCTGAAGCTAAGGAGTGATAACCCATGCAAGAATCATTATGTATTGATTTTTATGGTTATTTCAAACATGGATAAAATAACATGTGTGCAGTAAATGTAGCTGATCTGTGTGGTAATTCATTCATCATTTTTTACCATAAAAAATCATATAATGCACAGTAATGAAATGGAGGAACATGATTTACTTTTGTGAATTGAGCCTATAATAATAGTCGGTGGGCTGGGCATTAAGAAGTGCAGAATATTAGGGACACAGAGAAAATGTAATTATATCCCTTTGTAAATCAGCCTTTGTGACAGCAGTGTCACAGGACTGTGCTGTGGATTTAGATGTGAGCTTCAAATAATTAATTCACTTTCTTCTTGATGGACACGTTATCTGTCAAGAGCCAATAGATTGGGAGGGAATGGCCTTAATTAATAAACTCCCTTGCAGATGTCTCCATTAACACCTTAGCTGCAAGGGGTACATCATGTAAGAGACACTCAGAATGGATCTTTGATTCTAATTTAATATCTTGGTGTTTTAGATATAAAGGAGAACCATAATGCCTTTTGGTTAATTACATTTTTTCTTTTATGGTTTTAAACTGATGTTTCATATCTGTTTTACTAACTAGCCTGAGAGGTAGCCACTGCACTGTATTTGTAAGGTAAATGCCCGAGTGTACATCCACAAAAATATCCATATAAATCCAAAGGAGAAACAGAGGTACTCACCGGTCTTGCAGTGGAGATAAGCCAAAGCATCAGCATTTTATTGTTGACGTTTAGATGGAGTTCAGTCCATCTTTTACAGTTCATCTTGTACTATTTGTATCACTATAGTATATGTACTATTGGTTTTATACATAAATGTTTAATTCATGGTGCACCCATTCCACTGGATTTACACAGCATTGTGGTTGTGGGTTTTCTAAAGAGAAAACAGCAAAAAGAAAAATGTTGCTTTCATACTGACTATTTCTAATTGACACTCCATAAGGGGCCAACTGAAGGCAGCAGGTAGGAAGTCATGGGGTGGGGTCTCTACTCTGCGTCATTTAGATGAGAAAAATTTGAGCTTGAGCTGTTTTCCATAACCTGGCTTTCTACAATAGAGCAGTTATATGTTGACTGAAAGAAATATGCACTACCCACTGACTGGGAAAAAATGTCATATACATATGCAATAGTTCATATTTACCACAGAAATATTCAGAAATCAGCTATCACATTTCTTTTCCACATGTGAGATCTAGACTGAGCCTAACCAGCCCCAAATAAGTTAAAAAAATAACCTAAGCATTATAAAAGCAAATAGAGAGGGTCTGGGGGCTGCGAATAGGCGGGAAACATGTCCAATGGAAAAGAACAGTCACAGTGGCACCATTTCATCTGAACTAGTAGGCAAGACATGCAGCGTTTCCGAGTTACCCGCAGTCTGATGGAGCTGGCTATCATGAGCAAGGTCACCCAAGAGTGTTCTGTAGATATTAGCCACGTGAGATAGCAGGAGCACTTTTGACAGGGACAAAACAGGAACGGAGGGTAGGAGTTATTGGTGTTGTATAACGGGTATTTGATTCAGCTTCTGTCATGGAGTTGCAGCGTAACTGTGCACTACAGGCAGTCTGACTTGACAGCAGAATCACACGTTTAGTACCTTTAGGGACACAGAGACCTTACTCACGTGGGAGACAGTAGGGGACAAAGTTGGGACTGCCAGAGGGGCACGTGGTATGGTAGAACCAGTGAGGGGAAGGAGGTGAGTCATTCATTCCCCCCAGTGAAACAAGTGGCTCACTAGGAGACCATCAAAGTTCCGTATTCTGGGGAGTAGAGGAACTCCAGCCAGTAGAACCATCTCTTCCTAAATTTGGCATCCGTGTGATGTATAGTGGATATTTTATTTTTTTAGAGAGAGAGAGATAAATTTACCTGCCTAAGAGCTTTTTCTTAAATAATATATTTTTTCTAAAAAAATTCTTATAAATATAACAGAAAGACACAAATAAATTACATTTAGTTTAAGATTCTAGAAGACATATCTACAATTTAGTTCTTTCTTGTTGCTCCCTGACATCCTCTGGTGGCAGAAAAGTTGCAATGCAAACTACATTTGTTCTAAACATTAACAGACTATTAATATTGTTTACAGGAAACTTTAAAGCTTCAATCAAACCCAGGAAAAAATGTTTTAAATATTTAAACTTCTTACTTTTGAATCTACGACAGTCTTCTGCTATTTTATTAAAATATTTCGCATTTTGTAAAATCTCCCTGGTGCATGTTGGCTTTGCTAAACTGGTTTATATTTATTACCTTAGATTGGAAGCTCCTTTAGGGCGGGGACTCATGTGATTGTGCAATATGTACAGCGCTGTGTAAAATATCAGCTCTATATAAATACCTGTAATAAATTAATAAATAATATGAATTTCAACAGTAGAAGCAGGAACATCCCATACTGGGCAGAAACAGAGCCAGAAACAAAAACAAGACCTCTGCACTTTTGCTGTCCCCAAGAGATATAAGAATCCAGTGGGAGGACTCAGCCCACCAGACCTTATCTGCAATTATGACTATTTTGGATGGGCTGGCCCTTTTACTTAGTCTTATGCTATAAAATCTGTGTCTGGCCTTAAGTCCCACACCATTCTATGTAAAATACTAAAACATTAGAAAAGAAAAGCAAACGTTAAGTAGCAAAATGTACTCACCTTAGACCACGGCTTTAAGCCAACTCACTTAGATGGCAGTGGTCTCACTGCAGGATCCTGAGAAAACTGAAAATTCCAAAACTCCCAAGGGGGTGAAGGAGCCAGAAGCTGTTGCATAATGCTAAGGTTACCTTTTTTTACTTTATTCTCCATTTTTTTTTAAGGTTTAACTTGAAATTATTACATGAGAGGTCGGGGGCTAGGCAATAACAGGACCTCGAATTGACATGCACAGTCCAATTAAAGTCCTGCCAAAACTTTTTATTTTGGTTTAAATAAAGTACGGAAGGCTCTGCCTGGTTTATATTGATGTTTATATCTCTATTTGGAAGATTTCCCCTTTAAGTTGGTTGAGTTTGCCCTTACTCTATTGGACCTCCATTGATCTTTGAGGTCCATTCACCTTAGGTTAATTTAAAAGGAGAACTATGAGGTGAGTGAAAATCACTCATCCTCATAGTTAGAGCCGACGTGTGACAATGAAACTGTCACACGTCGGCTCAATAGATCGGGAAGTGAGCGAACACATACCACCATCTAGATAGGCAGAGCTAGCTGTCACTCATGCAGCTGGGTGGATCTCGACGACATTGTCGGGATCCGTCCCGGCTGCGGCGGTCTCAGTATACCGCGAGCTGTAGCTCGCAATATACTGAGCTTTGGGTCAAGGGAGGATGCTAGTATATGTCCTCCAGTGACCCTAAAGAGAACTATGGGGAAAAACACTTACCCCATAGTTTTCTTTTAACTCTTTCCTGCAAAAGATATCCATGGCAAGAACCCCTTTTTTCATATATAAAATTCACAATGAGAACTATATACAGTAAACTCTCTGTTATCGAGTATTCAACTAACCAGTACACTCATCTAACTGGAAGAAAAAATCCCCTGTGTACTCCCTGTTCTGCTGATCTGCGGCATGTGTTATCCTGGAAGCGATCATGTGCCTATTTGTCTTAATTTGGTTACTGCATTAGAATATTAATATGAAGTCAATACAGAGTTTATAGTATGGTATAGTATGGGGTATGGCATTAGTTAGACCTATTTGTAATAGTAACTCTCAAGCAACCAGAAACTACAGTGATCCGGAATCTATCAATCCGTGTGGATGCTGGATAACTGGGAGTTTACTGTAACACAATCTGAACCTTGAGAGCTGCATTTCATGTCTTGTCTATAGTAATGGAACAGGTTCTCTCGTGAATAGCCTCTCCATGCTATTTCCCAGGACCTATATATACAGTCTACACACTTATAGGCAGGAGGTAAGAGAAATAAGACAGTATGACGTTATTGCAGCTCAATTTGTGTCAAATTGTCCTAGACAAGGAACTCTTAGAACATGTTGTGTGTCTGTACAGCTGAGCTCTGAGCTCTCTGTGATCGATTTTACTTGCCAAAATGTTTATAAATTATTTTTCAGTAGCTATTGTGACCCAGTTACCCCTGCTACACATCAAAGCCAGGTTGGCAACCTCACCTTACATCACTGCAGTTAATCATTGCGGCCTTGTAACCAATCCACTCTCTACCTACTCAATGGGCAAGAAAATGAGTATCTCCACACTGATGAGGTCATCCCTCTGTTCTCATTGTGCTCCCTTCTTTTCACATAGCCTAGTCTACTAGCCTTCCCCTCTGCCTACTGCACAAGGGTTAGCAGGACAGATTGCAGTACTTCTGCTAGCTGTACTCGAGAATGGATACATAATACATAACCAGAGATAATTGATACCTGGATGCCTAGACCAAATCTAGCAGTATCAGCATACGTTTGTTAATTGATTATAACTGTATAATTAATTGTTTACCTAAATAATTTGACATTGGTTTAAAGATATATACATTTTTAGTCTATGGGCAGCCGTGTGTAAATGAACAGGTGTCTGTTTAAACCCGGGTACCCCCGACTCCGGCTAGGTCCGGAAAAAGGAACGGATCAGAGATCCATTTTGCTGGACAGGATCATGCCAGATTGGGCATCATCTGATGTAAACGGACACATCCGTTTACACACGTTCATTTACGTCTGATTCCCCATAGACTGACATGGGGTCCAGTAATTGCAGTTATTTATTTTGAGATCCTCCATTTCCTCCATCCAGATAGAGGTCCATCTAGCATTGAACAACATTCTCAGCTGTTCGGTGTCACTGGAGGATCACTCGGGGGCTTTGGAGGGTAAATGAGGACAGAGTTGCCATGAGTGATTTGTCTGCAGGGTAACGTCTCTTCCTGCTGCTTCACACACACTGGCGGCTGCTTGTCTATTGCCATTTTCACAATGAATTACTTTGAACCACTACAGTGGGGGTTTGACATGTCACTCACACCGGCAGAGTGGGCATTGTGCCATTGCAGTCATTGACAACTCTGGTGACATCCTTACTACACACAGAGGACAACTCTGAAACATGTTCTGCAAGCAAAGAAGCAAATGTTTGTCACTCACTGGCTGCCAGCCTGTAGGATGCCATGTGCTGATGTTGTCTTTGTTTAGAATAGACAATTTGCTTGGCTTTCTCCTGCTCCTGGACATCTTTTTTTAAACGTCCAATTAAATCTGAACTCCAGACAGATTTAAAAGACACAAATAAATACAGCTCCATATTAGGACATCATTAATACATCAAGAAACTTATATGTTCAAAAGCAAGCAGTGTAAGTACATGGATTTGATTCGATATCAGTCTAGTGTAATCCCTGTACAACAGAACAGACAGTTATCTGTACTGGGCATGGTCCTCCTTACCATCTTGTCTTGATTTGTATTGTGATTGTAATGTCTTCCTTATATTGTAAAGCGCTGCACAAACTGTTGGCGCTATATAAATCCTGTATTATAATAATAATACTGCAGTGCTCATGTGCTAACAATGGACATTCTGATAGGAGGAGAGCAGGGAGATAAGCTCATCCATCTGCTGCATCTCATGACACTGTCCAGTCAAGGCAGGGAAGGGACAAGACCTTTAAGTGTTACTTAACTGCAGCAGGGAAAAATCAGGCCTTTTGCCTGCCAGACAGATGCTATGTGGTAGTGCAGTATAAATGTAAGAATTGGATTGACAGAAATGCAAATTCTTTCACAGGTAAATCTGTTCCCCTATATGTATTTCATCTGGGGAGTTCCCCTTCAAGCAATTATTACTAAATTCCAGTTATGATTGCTGGTGAACAAATTCCTTAAATAAGAATTCCAAAAGTAGCATTTGAAATCCAGGAGAGAGAGAGACAGTCAGGAGAGTGTGCCCTTCAAGACTTATCTGCACCCTGTGTTTCAGACTACTCCTTGCTTCCCAAGTTCCAGAGTCCCTCCATGTCCTGTGCCTCCTCCATGCACTCAAGTTGGAGCACCAGGACCCCTGTGGTTCCCCCTGTCCACCTGACATCGTGACATCTTGTGTCTGGGTTTCAGCTGGCCTGAAACCCGGACACTACACATACAGGACTCAAAACCCGGACTCTCCGGGTGAATCCCAGACAGGTGGAAACCCTATGTCACCCGCAAGTCCTGACATTGTTGTTTGAATTGCAGTAGTTATAGACATCTATGGGGTTGGCTACATACATTCAAATAATGCAGAACAAAGTTGTGAGATCAGGCTAAAACATTTTACAGTTTATATCATTTTAATTGATAAATGAGCGTTTTTGTAATTGAATCACATCACCTCTCACACCTGTACATGCCCTATGGAGAACAATTTTTACATATCTGCTAAAGGCTAAAGAGCTATTTATTTACAACTTTGTCATTACTTAAGAAAACAAAAGTAGTACAAATATAATTTACAGACAGCAAATGTAACAAAACTAGGGGGGAAAAAAACCTGTTAGTTTATAATAAATACTGTAGATCAGGGGTGGCAAACTCAAATTCATCGGGGGCCGCATCAGCAGTATGGTTACCCTCAAAGGGCCGGTTGTATAGGACTATGCATCTACTCTTTATTATCATAAATAGTTGCCTCTGCATTCAGTTGCTACTGGTTTTAATCATAATTTAAGTAATAACTAGCCTTGAAAACATCCACAAGAAACTTTATTGGAGACTGCTCAGACTGCAGCAGAAATCCCTAATCTGGCGTTTTCAAGTGACAGCTGTCACCTAGTCAAGTTAATGATCAGGTGACAGCAGCTCCATGTAAACGCCTGCACACCGCATGTAATGATACGTGATTTTTGTCTAGATGTTAAAAAAAGTTATACTCACCCAAACTGCAGAGCAGGCTGGCTCCTACTCTGGTCCCTGAAGCCTGTCTACTCCTCCGCTACAGCAATTGTATTCCCCTTGGCATCTTCATGTCCTATACACTGTGTATAGAATGTCATGGCTCAAAAATCCTTAGACCACTGCAGAGGAGGAGGGAGAGTGAGGCTCCAGGGTCCCGTCTAAGAGCCGGCTGATTCCGAGGATCGGAATAGCCCCACGGCAAGGGTTAAGAGCACTTTTGCCCGAATTTCCGCTTTAATAAGGGGTTACATGTCAGGTTGCTTTAACTGCTTTAACTGACATCATATACAGAATTAAAAGATAATAGAATACATTTACAGAGTTGTTCACAAAAGGGTGAAGAGTTTGGAGAAGGGAGGAGAAGTGAACAATCTAGAACAACATCGCTGATTTGGAAAAATTCTCCAATTCAGCTCACTTTCCAGTTCAGCTATGCTGTCCTAGATTGTTCACTTCTCCTGCCTTCTCCAAACTCTTCA